GCTCCCTCTGACAGTTGACAAGTGAAAACCCGACTACATGTGGCCAAGCAACATCAGAATGTGGCCAAGTTGGCAAAATGTATCAATGAAGAACACACAAGCTAGGAGTGTTTGAAGCAGTTTGCTTTTGCCTGAGCCTGTTGGGAAGGGCATGATTCTGCCCCTCTTCTCTCCCCTTGCTGAGTTAATTGAATGCAAACTATTCCTCTACTTTGAACCTGTTTTGCAGCAGTTGATGTATAAAGTTGTGGATAAAGGATGAAAGTGGGAGGAGGAGACAGAAAATGGGACATTTTAAAAGATGCTGAAAAAATAGGATGACAAAGGATTAATCAGGACTGTCCCAGGGAATTTAAGACGGAGGATATGCAATGGTTTATTCGCACACTGCATACGTTAAAAGATTGGCTGTTATCCCAGTTATTAAGTGGGATTCTCACGCCTGCTTTGCTGCAGCACTTGACTGGTCCTGTACCAATATCAATGCACTGAACCAAGAACTTCCTCCCTTACTCATATCTTTACTTGCTTGCCTTGGCCTGTATGTAAAACCTGCCTCTCATGCTTGTTCTTTTAAATATAGTACTCTTTTATGTTCAGTCACATTGTAAGAAACAGATTTGAACTGTTGCGTATAATTGACTGGGAATTTGAAGAACTGTGGACAGAAGTTAAAGCCATAATTAAGGACGAATGGAAGAAAACACTAACAGTTGCCAAAAAGAAAGATAAGAAACAATGGATAACAGATGAAACACTTCATGCAATAGAAGAAAGAAGAAAAGCAAAAGCAAAGGGAGATAGGAACAAAACCAAAAGGATGAACACAGCTGTGCAGCATCTGATGCACAGGGATAAGAAAAAATACTATAATGATCAATGCAGAGAAACAGAAAACAACAAAAAGGGAAGAACAAGAGACCTCTATAAAAAAAATCCGAGAAAATAAAGCTAAATTCAAACCAAGGGCAGAGATGCTCTATGGGGGGAAAAAGAACATAATGCAGGAACAAGAAGAAATAAAAAGATGCTAGAGGCAATACACAGAAGAGTTATACAAAAAAGATGGGGGAATGAATGACATTTGGAATGAGGAGCCATATGAAGATGAACCCCAAATTCTAAGAAGTGAAGTGGAATCTGCATTAAAGGAAACACCGGGAACAAATGATATCCCAGTTGAACTGCTACAGTGCCCACAGACAGATGGAACTTTAGTGCTAACAGAAATAATCCAACAAATGCGGAAAACAAAGCAGTGTCCAACAGACTGGAAATGTTTTTTGTGGGTTTTCCGGGCTGTGTGGCCATGTTCTAGAAGAGTTTCTTTCTGCTGTTTCGCCAGCATCTGTGGCTGGCATCTTTCCATCACTGGAAATGATCAATATACATACCAATTCACAAGAACAGAGATACAAAAGACTGAAGCAACTATAGGACAATAGCACTAATCTCACATGCAAGCAAAATAATGCTCAAAATTCTGCAGCATAGACTCTGAAGATGCCAGCCACAGATCAGGCAAAACATCAGGAATACATTCTTCTGAACACAGCCTCACAGCCCACCCCCCCCACCCCCCAAAATGTATGGATGCTGGCCATGAAAGCTTTTGACTTCTCCTGATATTGTTGAATTTCAGATCCTAGCCAGTATCGCCAATATTTGGAGATTCTCTGATTTGTAATCTGATAGTGTCTGGGTACTCAAGCTTTTGACTCACTGTGACAGGCCAACCTTCCACATATCTATCTAACTCAATGGCTCCCAATCTAACTGGTGGCGCACCAGTTAGGCTCCAAGAGGTTCACCCAGACGATTCCTTCTATTGAGCAAATAGATATTATTGGACTGCAACTCCCAGCATTACTCATGGCTATGATGGCTAGGAATGCTGTGACTTGCCACCTCACAACATCTGCACAGCTGCATGATTCTCAACCTTGTTGCACAGGGCCATGTCTTTCTCTTTTACAATAAATAAATAAATAAATAAATAAATAAATGAACACTCTCATGGTTTACAAAATTAGTGAACATCAGGCTATTCCAGATTGAATAAACTCAACACACAGGGGGAAAGTCCTGCAACGTGGAATTATGATGGGGAACATGAACCTGGATAGGGCCAATCTTCAGTATGAGAATCAAAGTGCTGCAAGTGCATATGCTCTCGTCTCAGGAGGATATTTGTGTCGTTTCTGATTCTGCTTCGCAGTCCAACACAAACCAGAGGCTGTTTGTTTGGATTAGCATGATGTAATGCTTTAAATGAGAGCCAGTATGGTGTAGTGGTTTGAACATTAGACTATAACTGTGGAGACCAAGGTTCAATTCCTCGCTCAGCCACAAAAACCCATTGGGTGATCTTGGGAACTTACACTCTCTTCCCCATAGAGGAAGGTAATGGCAAACCTTCTATGAATGAACTGTTGTCAAGAAAACTCTATGATAGTTATAGTCACCTGCAAACTCTGTAAATAAAAATTGGAATTTAATTACATGTCGGAAGAGATTGGTTTTTAATGGTCTTTTCAACTCAGGCAGCATATTCAGCTGTTGCATCTCTTCCAGCAGATCATTCCACAGTCTATGGACAGCTGAAGAAAAAAATATTCTGGCTGACTGTTGCCAACCTAGTTCAAGCTGACTGGAGTAAACGTCCGCCAGAGGACCTGAATGTATGGGGTGGATTGTATGGGAGGAGGCGATCCGGTAGGTAATCTGGACCCAAACTATACATAATTCCAGAAAATAAAAGGTAGCAATGCTGTTTGCAAGTTGTGCAGTTTCCTTGTGTGGACTCCAGGTGGAGCATCCCTGTAGAGCAGTTGGTTCTCTGCAGGACACTTGATCTCTCCCAGGTGAGGAGGCCTAGGCCTCCTGGTCTCCCTTCACTGCCTGCCTTTGTTCTCCGGCCCAGTCCTATCTCCCTTAGCAACGTGATCCTATCTACCTGCGAAACTGGAACATAGGCACTGGACGCACGCAGCAGTGACCTAGAAAGTGAGCTGTTGGCAGTGCCTCTTCTCACTCACCCCCGCCATCCTGCCCTCCCCTTTGGCTTCTTTCTGCAACAGTGGTGGTTTCAAGTAACCCTCCTCTGGGACCTGACCCAAGTTGCTCTGGCCTCACTGAGATGTCAAGCCTGGCCGAAGCCACTGGAATTACAGCCTTGGCTTCAGAAAGACTGCTGTTGGGCAGAACTAGGGTTAAGAAAAATGGCTAGAGTGTTGCAGAAAGCCTGGGGAGCTCTGAATTCAAATTCTTCCAGTCATGGCACCCAGTGGTAAACCCAGGCTGGGTATACTCAGGGTGACCAGATGTCATAAATGCAAAGGAGGACAACTTGGCACTGCAAAATGTAGGAGATTCAAGAAGCAAGATTAATTCTTGCTTCTTAGTCATGCTCAAAACGGAGGACATTTTGGAATTGCTCCTGGATAGGAGGGCTGAAATGTGGGACATGTCCAGGAAAAGGAGGATGTCTGGTCACCCTGGGCATTCTCCCCTGGCTTAATATATACCTTACCAAATAGTTGTGAGGGATGCGTAGAGCCAATTCCATGATCTTGAGCTGACAGGTGGGAATCATAACACCTTCCAAATAATGTTGGATTGCAACTTCCAACATTGCACATCATTGGATTTACAGGAAATCGTATATTATTATTGTTTTTGAAACACTGCCTTTCTATTACATTCCATGGGTGGCTTATAAAGAAGAAGACAGTTTAAAACAACCAAGCAAACATCATTAAATAACTACCGTATTTTCCGGCGTATAAGACGACCCGCATATAAGACAACCCCCCATTTTTCCAGTCAAAATATAGAGTTTCAGCAACTCCATCCTCCTTATCCTTATACCCGGCGTATAAGACGACCCCCCACTTTAACCACAGATTTTGCAGGTTAAAATGTAGTCTTATACGCAGGAAAATAAGGTAACTAACAATACACACCTATAGTTGCAGCAGGGCATTTGGTGTAGTGATACTTACTATGTGGAATGCTGAATGCAGATGCTTCAACTATCCATTTTTTTTTATTAAAGTTAAAAACATTTTATTTGAGTAAGGCTTTCTATTTAGTCTACCCTAACATTTATTTTCTTGTACCTTGAAAAGAATGTATCAGGTTCTGTGTTTGGGTGTTGTGTATGTTTTACATTTTTAATGGATATACACCACTTTGAAATTTTTGGAGATAAGTGCTGTATAAACATTTGCAAATAAATGGTGTGGAGGTTGGATAAACAAATACATGTATGTAGTTTTACAATAGATAGGAAGGCAAACAGACCAACAAAGCATTGTAAATTGCCTTTAGGATGTAAATATTTAAAGTAAATAAATGTATTTATTCAGCCCTGGACAAGTGGACTACCAATACAGAAGACAATGCAACACAACAAATTCCTTCCCCTCATCACTGAACAGACATGGCTTGGTGCCATCATAGTCAAGGATTTCAGGGCGGAAGATGGTGCCCGAGTAGTGCACATGCACGCGTGACGCCGGATGCCATTTTGGAACACAAAGAAGAAAAAAAGTCATTCTTAGATGTCCATTGGAAGAAGCCTTTAAGAGTTAAAATGTTTTTATTTAGTTATGCCTAGCTTACCTGACTCAGTTGTTTCATTCTGCTCATGCATATTGTTAGTTTTGAATTTAAAAATTGCTAAAACGCATTGAAGTGCTCTTCTATATCATGGTGCAAGAATCTAGCCCTATTGTTCCTATGTTATTTCTTCCTTTGATACAAAATGTTCTGTTAAAGAAGTAAGGTCCGGGAACATGTCAGATCAGACCACGGTGACACATGCCTTAGTTATATCCTGGTTGGTTTACTGTAATGTGCTCTATGTGGGGCTGCCTATGAAAAGTGTTGGGAAACTTAAACTGGTCCAAAGAACTGCAGCCAGATTGCTAACTGGAGCTGGCTACAAGGAACACACAACTCCCTTGTTGCACAAGCTTCACCGGCTGCAGATCTGTTCCTGGGCACAATTCAAAGTGCTGGTTTTGACTTATAAAACA